AAATGCTTCGAGCATTAGCTGACTGCCGCATTGACTACCGATATATTGCCTTGATTAAAAGTATTTACGAAACTGGTACAGCTTGTGTCCGCCTTCATGAAGATACCAAGAAGTTTCGAATAGAACGTGGAATTAGACAGGGTGATACTATCTCCCCTAAATTGTTTACAGCTGTTCTTGAATATATGTTCAAGCAAATGGAACGAGAGGATAATATGGGAATTAATATAAATGGTGAAGATCTGAACCACCTAAGATTTGCCGATGACATCGTTTTAATATCTGATAGAGTTGATAAAGCTACAAAAATGCTGCACACGCTCTATAAAGTGTCAAAAACAATTGGTCTTAAAATTAACACCTCAAAAACAAAATTTATGACCAACCTTGTAGTCAGCGGTAAAATTCTGATTGAGAGCCATAGCATCGACCAAGTAATAGCTTACAAATATCTAGGGCATGAGATTCGCCTAGGCCGAGATAATCAGACAACTGAAATACAAAGAAGGATAGGTCTCACATGGGCTGCCTTTGGTAGATTGAATAACATTTTCAAGTCTAGTATCCCAGTTTGTTTAAAAAGAAAGGTTTTTAACCAGTGCGTTTTACGGTTCTTACATATGGTGCAGAAACACTGACTCTGACAAAAAGAACAATAGATAAAATAAGAGTTACACAACGCGCTATGGAAAGATCAATATTAGGTATTACCATCAGAGATAAAGTACCAAACCTAGAAATAAGAAGAAGAACAGGAGTCACAGATGCAGTTGAAAAAATAGCCAGGGCTAAATGGGCTTGGGCCGGACATGTTGCCAGATTAACGGATGACAGATGGACCAAAAAGATTCTGGAATGGCGACCAAGGCAAGATGCATATCGAAGCAGAGGACGACCACCGACTAGATGGACGGATGATATCAAGCGCATCACCACAAACTGGATGCAAGAAGCTCAAGACAGAAATAGGTGGAAAATTTTACGGGAGGCCTACGTTCAGCAGTGGACAAACATAGGCTAATTGATGATGATGTTTAATAAATTAACTCCTCTGTAGTTTTCCGGGTCCGATTTGTCTCCCTTTTTGAAGATAGGTATTAAAATACTTGATCTACATTCTTGAAGAATTCTGTTTTGTTCTATTATTTTTTGGATTAGTTTTAATAGTTGTTTAGTCAGATCTGGTCCTCCGTACTTTAGGAGTTCGTTCGGTATTCTGTCCTCTTCTAGTGATTTTCTGTTTTTTAATTTCCTTATGCTTCCTTTACCTCTTCCTCTTCAATATTTATTTCTTCGTTTGTCGTCACCTCTGGTGTTGGTGGTTCATCATCGTCACCTTTAGCAAATAGGGATCGAAAGTAGTCTACCCATGTTTCCTTCTGAATGTGTTTCGTTTTTATTAGTTCGTTCATCTCTTTTCTTTGTCCTCTGATCATTCTCCATATTTCTTTTTGTGTTCCTAGAAATCGTGTTCCATCTGTTTTGAGAACTCTGCCAGTGTTCCTTTTTATTTGTCTAACTAAAGTATTCGTTTCATTTCTGATTCGTTTATAGTGGTTGTGTTGTGTTGTGTTCTGTATTGTAAAAAGGCTTTCTTCTTTTCTTCACATTTTGTCTTCACTTCCTCTTTAAAACATCGTGTTTTCTTTTTTGATATGTTAGTGTTTGTTACTTTCCTCTCTTCAAGTGATTCTGTTGCTGCGTTAATTATATTATTATTTTTGAGTTTTTCCCAGTTTTCCTCGATGCTATTATTTTCTAATATTTCATGCTCATCGATCTTCTCTGATATTATTTTCCTGTATAAGTATTCCGTCGATTCCGTATTTAGTCCTTCGACTTTGATTTTTTTTGTGTTGGCATCGCTCTCTTGGGTAGGAAGTATTTCAGGATTATTCTTATTTTACATAATACTAGGCTATGGTCGCTCTCTACATATGCTGAGTTCAGGGTCGATTATTATTTTTTTGATTTTGTGAGTGTGTCAATTTTAAAACTTACAATGGGCTATATCTCACAAACAGAAGCTAATATCGAAATCGAAAAATGCTTGAAACCGTTTCTTGGATAGTAAGTCGGAACTAAAATGACATGAAAGAGAACTTAGCCCCATCAACTCCCTAGGCCCTATTCACCACAACCAAAAAAGTTTAAATGGCAAACTTCTATAAAGACTATTAACCCTTTTTTGCCCAAATTAAGATTTTTCAAAAAAAAAACAATTTTTTTTTACATGTATCGATATAATAAGATAGCTTAAGCATAATTTAATTTTTTTTGCCACAAAGACTCTTTTCAAAGAGATGGGACTTACAAGTCCCGTCAGGAATTAGGATAGGAGATTCTATCAGGAGATAACTATTAGCGATTTCTGTTGCTATAGAAAAAAAATGCTAAAAATAAAAGCTTTTATTATTTTCTATAAATGATTACTATTAGACAGAACTTACAACGAAGTAGGAAGGCTGTGGTACATCGCAAAACAGTTTTTATTTGAATTACAACACAAATAGGCACCACAAAATGAACACTTTGATTGAGGTCTAGACTCTAATGCAAGTGAGCTGCAATATTCACATCTTCCCCTATTGGTGGTAAAAACAGGCCAGTGTTTCCCCAAATTTCCCAATCTGACGTCATCCAACACGCTGTATTTATACTTCCTCCTTTTGTTTGGTGTAGATGACTCAAAACTTCGGGAACCTCGCTTCTTTGCTTCAGTTGCGTATGTTATAAGCCCCATAGCAACCGATCTTCTTGCCTCCAGCTGGCTGGTTTTTTCCTCTAATTCATTATATATAATATATGAATTCACAAAGGCAATGTCCAACATACCCCAGAATAGACGGTGCCACCATTTATGTGATTTTCTATCTACACAGTATGAACTACGTAGTTGATCGGCAAGGTCAACGCCGCCCATATTTTTATTGTAGTCTTCCACAACGCTAAGGCATGGTAAGTTTATACTCGAACCATCTCTTTGTTTTCTGGAAACATATTTTACTTCTGATCCATGAAAGTTAGTTGCAATGTGAACTGCTCTGTTATCCATCCACACAAAATAACCGATGTTAGTATTAGAATACATATAATCGAAATCTCCGCGCTGTAACTGCTTTTCTTTTACATTTCGAGGCAAGTCCTTCCTATTTTTACGAATTGTACCACATGCTAATGTGTTTTCTAGTTTTAATCTTTCTAGTAATTTTACGCTCGTAAAGAAATTATCAAAATAAATAATTCTTCCTTCATTCCAGTACATCTTGGTTAATGATAGGACTACTCTTTCTCCTAAACCATAGTTCTCGAATTCGGTCTGCAATTTTTCGTTTTTGCCTTGATATAAGTCAAACTGTAAAATAAAACCATTTTGGTCTGCAATAGACCATAATTTGTAGCCCCTTTTGATGGGCTTTTTCGGATTATATTGTTTCAAGCTACTTCGCCCTTTAAAAACGATCATAGTTTCATCCACACTTAGTTTTCTTGTACCCTGATAACATTTAGTAAATTGTTTGTTTAGAGTATCTATCATTGGTCGAATTTTAAATGCCTTATCTTTATTGTCGTTGGAAATTTGATGGTTATCGTTGACATGTAGATTTGCTAATATCATCTCGAAACGATTCCTTGACATGGTTTTCGAAACAAGAGGCACATGTAAGTCTTCTGAAGTATTCCAGTACATTTTCCACGAGGGCAGTTGATGGTACCCCATTAAAAAGTTCAGCCCTATAAAGGCCAGTAATTCACCCTCCTTCATATTCAGTATCTTGTTGTCCGGCACTGCATACAAATTACTTTGATAGGTAATCTTCTCCACAATATCTCCAAGTAGTCTAAGAAAAACATCTGTAGGCGTTGTGCAACCTGTGAACTCTGGACTCACTGCTCCTTCTTCTAAGAGGTAACTTTGAATAATTTCGATGACATCTTTCTTATGCTATTTCCGGTTAGCTTCAAGAAGTTCAACTTTTTCATTTAGTTCGTCCTCAACCATAGCTTCTCCTGTTCCTGATTCTTCAATCTCACCTACATCATTTTCAACTACTTCACTTTCTTCAGCTGCAGACGGACTAACATCTCTTATTTCATTATCGTCAAAATCGCTGTCTTCAAATTCACTAATGTCGACATCATCTGGTAGGTCCAGAATTTGTATTGCCAGTTCCTCTAGTTCCTTTTCTGATAAAGGCTTTTTCATAAAATCCTTCCACTTACGTGACATTCTAAAAGAAAGTAATATAAAATAAAAACATGTTTTGAATCCTGACGGGACTGGAGAGTCCCAGGGCATTGTGTAGTAATATGAGACGTAATTATCATCATAACAAAATAAATATTTAATTGGTGCTTACCCTAAAGTATATTGCGTCTGATTCACAAATAAAATTCCGCAGAAACAGCATAAAAAATAATTGTAAACACGAATAACTATGCTTGAATCAACAAACGTCCACCGCCAGCAGTTACGGTTACACTAAATTCGATTACCCACGATTGTCAACGAATACACCCGGTGAAAGATTCTCTTATGCTAGATAACCGTTGTACGCGTCCGTCCCGTCAGGAATTACGCCAACTTCTGCCGTAATAAGAAAATCATAACGATTTAAAATTTTGGGACTTCAGAGTCCCGTCGGGCAAAAAAGGGTTAAAAATGCTATTAAATAGTAGAAATAATAATTATATAGGGTGAACATCAAAATGAAGAATTGCATCATGTTAAAACAGCGTTAAGAAAAACCGGCTTTTCAACATATATTATATTTTCTTTACGTTAACTGTAACATTACTTCAATATTCAGGGTTTGTTATTTTATGACTGTATTAACAGTACAATTAGATTTAAAAATATTTTCGTTATGGTTTCCTGTGTATATATTATCTATATTGTGTTTTGTTTTTGTATCTATTGTAATACGTCATAATTGTGATTGTGGTAACATTCTGCATTCTGTATATTACTAGGGTACATAATCTATTTTAATTTTCAGATTGACAACGGTCGGTTGGAGTTTACATCTCTCTTCCATGTCACAACTCCGTCCATTAACATTCCATCTTGTGAATTAAGACTGACAAAATTATTCTCAGAAGCAAATAATTACGTTGATGTTAATGTAAAGATGCCGCAGAAACTGACAAGTGATGTAAGTATAAAAGTTTGTCGTAGTTTGTTTACCAAAGTTTTAACGTATGCATTAATAATTATCTGCAACCGAACAATTAAAAAAGTAGTTGAGTGGCTGAGAGACAAAGTCGGTAGAGTAGAAACCAAGGAACACGTTATAAATATACACCTAGCATGGTGTAAATTAACCGAATATTCTGTATAAATAAGCTTTTTCCCAAGATGGTTTTGCTTCCTCGAAATTATAGGTAAAAATTATTAAATAAGAATGTTTTAAAAATTTATGTTTTTCTTTTTTTACCAATATTATTTTTTATTTACATTGACGTGATCGGCAACTATACCGATTCGCACAGGGCGCTTACAAAGCATTGCGTGTGGTACAGTAAAAATAACAAGTTAAGTCATATAACAATCATTTATAGTTTCTATCTATGTAATTAGTCTTCTTCGGTCCATCTTTGGACATAGCCCTTCCCAATCCCTTACCATTCTTCTCTGTTTGTCGCTACAGTCATCCATCTAGAACTTGCGTGCTTCTTGATATCATATGCCCATCTCATCTGGGGCCTTCCTCTGCGTTCGTTTATATTCCCACGGTCTCCAACTTATAAGAACTTTGTTCCATCGGTCTTCTGTTTGTCTTATATTGTGTCCGGCAAATCTCTATTTCAATTTTGCAACTTCTTGTCCAACATCCCTCACTTTTGTTTAGTCTCTTATCCACTCGTTTCTCTTTTTACCATTAGTCTTATGTGCAATATTTATCTTTTAATTGCTCTTTGGGTTTTTATGATCCTGTCGATATTTGCTTTTGTAAATGTCCACGTTTGGGAACCATAAGTGAGTAAGCCTTGATTGTATGTTTTGATCTTAGGATGCTGTGGATATCTTCTGTTTTTAAGAATGTAACTTAGTTTGGCAAATACCACCCATGCCAGTCTAACTCGTCTTTTTATCTCTGCTGTTTGGTTTTCCTTGTTAAGTTTTATAGTTTGACCGAGATATAGAGAATCCTGAAATTGCTCTTTTTCTTCTTCTCTGATCCTTATTGTGATGTCTTTATCTATATTTCTTATGATTCTGGTCTTGCTGTAATTCATATTAAGGCCTATCTTTCCAGCTCCTACGTCCAGTTTGTTCGTCATTTCAAACAATTTTTTTTTTTTTGTCGGTTATCAATGCGTACCTCAGATAGTTCAAGCGTTGTTCACAAATTTTTTTACCTTTTTCCCCCTTCCCTTTCTAATCTTTTAAAATCTATCTTCCAGAGCCTGATTGAAAAGTTTTGGTGATATTGTCTCACCCTGTCTTACGCCTCTATTTATTTGTATTGATTTCGTTCTTTCATATACTTTAATTGTTGTTTTGACTTCCCTATATATATATATATATATATATATATATATATATATATATATATATATATATATATATATATATATATATATATATATCGGAAAAAGGAGTACGACCGTCAAATTCCAATATATAAAAGGATCACTCAACAGAGTGGTGGGCTCTTATATCGGTCAGTTTGTAGGTGGAGAAATGAAAGACAAAGTTGATGTGCCACTCTATCTATTTTGAAGACGTTTCGCTTTCGTATTCTGAAAGCATCATCAGTTCATTCTAAAAAGTATAATATAAGAACCACACAATCATGGAAAAGATGTTACAGATGTTACCTTAAAAAGACATGTAGCAGTCAAAGATGTTAACAAGCTTATGAATTAAACTTGAATAAATGGACATTTTAAAGAAGATTTTTATAAAAGAAAATGTGAAGAAATAGAGCAATTGCAGGCAAAACATGATATTTTTAATGTACATAAAAAAGTGAAAGAACTTGCAGGTACACAAAAACGTAAGCAGCCAAATACCCTGTATAATGTCAACGGAAACATAATAACAGAACTAGAAGAACAGTTGAAGACATGGAAAAACTATATTGAAGAACTCTTTGCAGATGATAGACAACAATCTGAGCTAAGTAACATACAAGGAGACGAAGGTCCAGAAATAACGGAAGAGGAAGTAATGTACGCACTAAAAAGAATGAAAAATGGTAAAGCCCCAGGTCCAGATGAAATACCAACGGAAATCCTTAAACTAATAGAAAAAGACTCGATTCGCATTTTAGTTGAACTTTTCAATAGCATTTATACATCAGGAAAAATACCACAAGAATGGCTTTTATCCACCTTTGTTATTATACCAAAAAAGATAAATGCCAAACAATGTAGTGATTACCGTACAATCAGTCTGATGAGCCATGTACTGAAAATATTCCTGAAAATTATACACTCTAGAGTACACACAAAACTGGAAATGGACATCAATAATACCCAGTTTGGATTCCGAAATGGACTCGGAACAAGAGAGGCGTTGTTTGCACTGAACGTTATGTCTCAAAGATGTCTTGACATAAATCAAGATGTATTCATGTGTTTCATAGATTACAACAAGGCCTTTGATAAAGTGCGGCATGATCACCTAATCAGACTCCTGACAGAAAAGAATTTAGATAAACGAGACATCCGACTAATAGCAAATATGTACTACAATCAGAAAGCAGTAGTGAGAGTAGAGAATAATACCACTGAAGAAATTGAAATAAAGCGAGGTGTGAGACAAGGGTGTATACTGTCACCAACCCTGTTTAATCTCTATTCCGAAGACGTAATGAATAGAACACTCTCTGAGCAATCCGTAGGTATTAAAATAAATGGTGTTAGATTAAACAATCTGAGATTTGCCGACGACACCGTTCTGATCGCAGAAACACTTGAAGAGCTACAGACATTGGTGAATAAGATAGCAGACTGCAGCGAAGAATATGGACTATCTTTGAACATAAAGAAAACGAAATTTATGGTAATATCGAAATCAACACAAAATGTCCAAAATTTATATTTACACAATGAAATTATCGATCGAGTTAGCAAATACAAATATTTAGGCACTTTTATAAATGAAGACAACGATAGCTCAGCGGAAATCAAAATAAGAATAGAAAAAGCCAGATCCATATTCACTAAAATGAAGAGAGTGTTCTGCGGAAGAGATTTGAGCCTTGAAATGAAACTTCGCCTGATGAGATGTTACGTACTTTCTGTGCTGTTTTACGGAATGGAGTCATGGACGTTAAAAAAGATTGATACCAAAAAATTAGAGGCATTTGAACTGTGGATGTATCGCAGAATCCTGAGAATATCATGGACCGAGAGAGTCACAAATGTCGAGGTCTTGAGAAGAATGAACAAAGAAAAGGAAGTCATATTTACAATCAAAAAACGAAAACTGCAATACTTGGGCCACATTACAAGAGGCGAAAGATATGAACTGCTTCGAATAATTATGCAAGGGAAAATAGCAGGAAAAAGGTCCATAGGAAGAAGACGAAACTCCTGGCTAAAGAATCTACGGGAATGGTATAGTTGTAGCAACAACGAATTGTTTCGGTCAGCAGTTTCGAAAATACGTATAGCCCTGATGATCGCCAACCTTCGGAACGAAGATGGCACTTGAAGAAGAAGAAGAAATGGACATTATAAAGTAGAAATGTATAAACATTTAATTTACTAACAACATTTAGTGACTTATTAAAAAATTAGCACAGTGAGTGACCATGTGGTCCGAAGTATAAAAAATATATTAAATTATAACTTAAATGATGCAAAGAACTAACGCCAGCATCAGTCTGTTCAATCTAACGCCATTTTCCTGGTAGCAGGTGCAAGGCTTAGACCGGTAACTTCATTCATTTACACTTATTTTTTTTTAATTATATTAACATCTTTTATTAATGCTACCAAAAGTTAAAATTAAAGCTTAATAATTATCCATTGTTGGAAGTTAATCGTTGATTTTCTTAGTTCTTTGCATCATTTAAGTTATAATTTAATATATTTTTTATACTTCGGACCACATGGTCACTCACTGTGCTAATTTTTTAATAAGTCACTAAATATTGTTAGTAAATTCAATGTTTATACATTTCTACTTTATAATGTCCATTTATTCAAGTTTAATTCATAAGCTTGTTAACATCTTTGACTGCTACATGTCTTTTTAAGGTAACACCTGTAATCTTTTCCATGATTGTGTGGTTCTTATATTATACTTTTTAGAATGAACTGATGATGCTTTCAGAATACGAAAGCGAAACGTCTTCAAAATAGATAGAGTGGCACATCAACTTTGTCTTTCATTTCTCCACCTACAAACTGACCGATATAAGAGCCCACCACTCTGTTGAGTGATCCTTTATATATATATATATATATATATATATATATATATATATATATATATATATATATATATATATATGTATATATATAATATATATAATATATAATATATATATATAATATATATATATATATATATATATATATATATTATATATATATATATATATATATATATATATATATATATATATATATATATATATATTGGCTATTAGTTCCGTATATCTGTAGTCAATTCTGCTGTTAATCAAAAAACTTTTCACTGCCCATGTTCGACACTGTTGAAAGCCTTTTCTAAATCTATAAACACTCATCATCATCATCATTTAACCCAGATCTATCCACTGCTGAATATAGGTCTCCCTCAGTCTTTTCCATGTATTTCTGTTTTGTGCTGTTTGCATCCAATTTTTGTCGATCCGTTTTATGTCATCAGACCATCTTGTTGGTGGACGACCTCTACTTCGATGTGCTTCTTGTCTCGGTCTTCACTGTATTATTCGCTGTGTCTATCTGTTATCCGACATTCTTGCCGAATCCGATTCACTCCCCGCCTCTCGACGCGTTAGTGTTCTGAGCTGTTGGACGTGAATCCCTGTCCTGGCATTTGGTTTTCACCTCTGGCTGCGTTAAGTAGTTGAGTTACTGTGACCAAATGCCCATCTTGGTAGTTAGTATTCGCCTCTGGTTGCGTTGAGTAACTGAGTTACCGTTGCTAACTACCCATCTTCCTGTCTTTTAATTTCTTTTTCTTTGTTCT